TCTACTTCTAAAAAAATTGAGTAATATCAAGAAGAGTTTATTTTATACCAGAGTCATAGCTAGGGTTTTCAGCGCCCAGGGACAACTGAAGATTTCGCGCCCCCTACTGGTTGCCAAGGATGGAAAACATTTAATTCTAAAATGTCGTAACATCAGTTTGCCGCCCCTTGGATTCCGCGCACGGGAACAGATGCCCCCCTCTAGCTACAACCCTGTTTTATACTGTTTTACATGTTGCATTATTAATGGAAAATGAATATCCATTGTGTGTTAAATGCAGTGAAAACTTGGCACATGGAAAGTATGAAACCTGCGAAATTAAAAACACATTTAGAAACGGTACTTTTCCGTTTTGCCGGTGCAAACGATAAAGTTGCCAACAATGGTACAACTGATGCCAAACAGAATACCTTTGCTGGCAACCTTTTACGCCTCATTTTCAAACAAGTCGCAGCCATTTCTTATCGGATTGACTGTACTGGCATACAATTACATAGAAATTTATACAAGATAGTTAAATTTTATGCTCTAAGACCATTTGCGGTAATTAAGTCAATTAGAATGCAATCACACTGCTCATCTGAAGGCGAAAATATAGAAAAGGCAAAATCACAGGTCAAATTCATCAATTCTAATGAGAATGGACTAGCGAAGTAAGGCACTGTGGTTTTACATAATTTCTGAATAAACTATTCGTACGAATTAAAATAATTTTTGCATTTAAACTTGTATTCCAAATTAAGATTTAACTTGTCATTAATGTAGATAATTACTGAGAGAATTAGATTTTTGTAGCGTAGTTTACGTGAGATGAGATCACGTGATACGAACCAACAAATCAGGATGTTGAAACATGAAAACATAGTAAATTCTTAATGTCTTTTTACAAATTTATTGGCTTTTTTACAAAATTTTAAAATGTATTAAAATGTTTATGCCTTCAAAATAAAATATTCTTAGAACTAACGTTTGTTAAAACTTTTTATGTGTATATTGTATGTTGTCGACAACAAAGTCTACTTGGCGAGATTTGCGCCAGTGAAATGGAAAGTACCTCAGAAACTAAACATAAAAGACTAAGTAAATAAATCTGAAGAATTTTTGGTTAATCTTTCGATTATGGTAACTTGGTGATTTTTCGGCTAAAATTTGGCGACCAACCCTGCTACAGCAACCTGCTAGTTTTGTTTTGCACGCCATTTTGTTTTCATGAAGTAAAGGCATTTTTTTTTTTTAACTCAACATTTTTTCTCAACAATCTGCTAGCCGAGTTACGCTTATGCTAGAACTTTTATGGAACAAAACTGCTTAATCATGACGAAGATTAGGTGCGAAATTGGGGCAAAGTGCAGAATCGCTCACTGCTTGCCGCGTTTTTAAGAATTGCACATACACGTTATCATCCATGTACACGTCGACCTATTTTCATTTAAAAAAACATCCCAGATTGCACAAAAATGGCATTGCGCACACTCTTGACCTTATCCATGTACACTGCTAAAGTCCTAGCTAGTAACCTTTATCGCCCTACCAAAATGTCGCCAAACTATCTGTTACCATATTCCAAAGATTGGCCGAATTTTTTAAGGAATGAGCTAAGAGCATGAAAAATTTAAAATGTATTTTTGAAAAAATATACAACAGTTCCTGAGAAGGATTTACAGGCATCTTAAAAGTTTCATATTTAATTGCAAAAATTTAAAAACCTCATACAATTGGAGAATCACTCATTCTTCTTTCAGCAATTAAAATGACATCATTTATGCATGCAGAAAAATATACTAATGATTTAAAAACAATAGCATTAAAAAAAAGATACGTTTCTCACCAAATTTCTGTAATATCAGATACTATAGAATACAAAATCCAGTCTTTACTATAAAACTTGATGAAACTACTGACATTATAAAAATGTCTCAATTCATCGTTTATCTGAGATACGTTTTTGAAGACGACGCAGTAGAATATTTTTTATGTTGTAATATTTGGAAAGGAAAAGCAACAGGAGAAAAAATATTTGAAATTATTAACAGACATTTTGAAACAAATAATCTTACCTAGACACACTGTGTCGCAGTTTGCACTAATGATGCTGCAGCATTAACAAGTAATTATAAAGGACTAAGACGGTTACTAATGAAAATTGCTCCCCATATAATATTCCATCACTGTATGACACATAAAAAAGCTCTTGTTGCAAACCAATGAAGAATTGCACAAGATATTGCAGGGTTATTAACGACATTAAAAGGCAAGATCCGAAACAGTTGTCTCTTTCTAATACAATGTAATGAGATAAGTTCTGTATATGAGGCATTATTACCAAAGTCAGTTGGCTTTCACACAGAAAAATACCGAGACATATTTTCGATTTGAGAAATACAGTTTACATATTTTCGGAAGAAAAGAAACATACATCAGCACGTTTATTCATTAATAATGATTAATTAGGAAAACTCAGTTACATAGTAGACATTTTCTAAAAACCTAAGCATTTTAATACTGAGCACCAATATTGAAGCTTTTAAAACTAAGCTAATACTTTGGCAAGGAGCATTGAGCAAAAACAACAGAAACATGGTTTTCAGAATTTACTAAAGAAAATAATACAGATGTCTTGTTTAAAACAACATATAAAACTGACAGAAAATTTTCCAAATAAGGAATTAGTTGGATCTGTGACCCATTTTGCCTTTGGTATTTTCAATCCATGTATCTCTAAATGAAAAAAAACAATTAATTGATACTAATTCAGAAGTCAACAATAAAATCAGCGTTATATTTACAAATTTTCACAGGACTAGTTTCGTGGTTTTACCGAACCACCATCTTCAGCTGCAAAACCTCAAATGAACCTAAGAAAATAATGAAACCAGATGTGGATTGGAATTAGGATCGTTAACTAGAACAGAAAGATTTTTTGGATGTGAAATGCCTCTAGAAAATCCAGTTGGGATCAATTTTTTACATTTACATTTAAGTAAAAAAACAAGATGATTCAGGAATTTTTGCCGTTTCAGGCGTAATTTAGTGAAACGATTAACGGATGAAGGCAGGATAAACAATACAGAAAATTAAACTAAATTAACTAAACAATAATAAAGCACACACAAAACAGCAGAAAAATCCCTCACTGAAATTAATAGAAAACAAAACGTAAGCAAAATGCATGAAATCAGACAAGCAAAGCACAATATCCAAATATACAAAATATAAACATAACTTGAAAATTGCAAAAAAGTACTTACCGAAATTCATGCAATCACAAAATGGCGGCCACACCACGTGCAAAAAAGAAAGCAAAAAATAAGCCTGTTTGGGGCTTCTATAATTAAGACACAATAACACGCCGAATAAATACTAATTTAGAAGTCAAACAACAAAAATCAGCGTTATATTTACCAAATTTTCACGGGACCAGTTTCGATGGTTTTACGGAACCACCATCCTCAGCTGCAAAACCGCAAATGAACAAGATAGGAAATAATGATTAGATAAGATAAGAAAGCCTGGACAAGAATAAGCAAGTGGTGCCATCTGTTGGTGAAACCAGAACTAAAACATAATTTCTTTAAAGGCCGAAGGCAAATTGGAATTAGGATCGTTAAATAGAACAGAAAGATTTTTATGAATGTGAAATGCCTCTAGAAAATCCAGTTCTCCAATGGAAGATGTTTTTTGAATAATTTTGGCAGCAGAAAATTTGAAAGTGTGGTTTTCGGACCAACAATGTTGAGCAACAGAAGACTTCTGTGTTTCCTTTTTTCTAACATATGCCTCATGTTCCTTGACGCGAAATTTTAAGGCTCTCTTAGTTTGGCCAATGTAAATTAAACCACACTGGCAAGGAATCCTATAAATACCCCAGGAATTCATATCCGGAATGGGGTCCTTGAGTATGGAACTCGGAATTTTATTGATGGGAGAATAAACAACCCGAAAGTTAAATTTCTGCAAAATATGTGCAACTTTATAGCTAACTGATGGAAAGAAGGGAATGACAACAGAATTTTTATAATCTCCTAAAACAAGAGTGTGCCTTTTAGTGTGTTGAGATGAGAATTTTTTAACTGCTTGATTAATAATGTTGGGTGGAAAGCCCCTGTCAATAGCTATTGCTTTTAAATAATTTAGTTCTTCATCAAGGTGGTGTGGCTAGAGCGGACGTGGTCAGAGCGGACAGTGGTTACAGCGGACACGTGAGGGGAGCTGGGTGGGCAGAGCGGACATTCTTGCACCTGTTGTGTTATTTCCCTAATCAGTCAAATGTGATCTATTGTGTAGTTTCGAGCTTTGCACCTGCTGTAGAGATAAGCCGATACTTTTGAGAGAGAAGGCCTTTCTCATTTTCTCAGTAGATGTTCGATCCTGAAGTGTGTATGTCGTTTTATATCGTCGAAAAAATCTGTGATGAACCCGTAGCCATTTCAACAAAATTACTCTCTACAAAAAAAAGGAAAAGAATGTTTAGTTGTAGATGATTACCCACACCGTTTACACCGAAAAAATAAATTAGGAATGAGTTGGGTATGTGTAAAAGAAAAGACACATCATTGTAAAGGAAATGTGAAGACAAATTTTCAGTACGAAGTACTGAAGAAAACTGAACATTCCTGCCCGCCCAACGTTGCTGAGATCGAAGTTAAAAGGAAGTTAGAGACTTGCAGAAAAAGAGTCCGAGAAGAAACATCAGTTCCCATTCCCCAGATATTTCAAGAAGAACTTTCAGAATTATATCAAAAAGGTTATGATTTTGTTGCTAAAATACCGACATACTCCAATGCCAAAACTGCTTTATGTAAGGAGAGGAGAAAGGCTTTGGGAGCTACTCAAAATCCCCAAAATGCCAATGACATTCAGTTTGCAAACGATACACTTTTGCTTTCTAATGGAGAAAACTTTCTTCGCTTAAACTTTCAAAATGACCAAGGTAACAGAATTTTAGTATTTGGAGGAGACTGTACCTTTTGGAAAATGGAAAGACTTTTTTCTTAGATGGAACATTTAAAAGTTGTCCGAAACAATTTGCTCAAATGTATACAATACACGTCGATTTAAGGAGTACAGCAACTGAGACCAACGTTTACCCAGCGCTTTTTGCATTTCTGCCTGATAAGAGACAAGCAACTTACATTGCAATGCTTCAGGAAGTGAAACGTTGGTGCCCTAAGTGGAAGCCGGACATTATAAAATTGGATTTTGAAGCCGCAGCCATCAATAGTTGTATGTTAGAATTTCCCAGTTCAACTATTTCCGGTTGTAACTTTCATTTTAATCAATGTTTGTGGCGTAAGATACAAGAAGTGGGTCTAGTAAATGAATATAAAGAGAACGAAGATATAAGAAATGTTTGTAGAATGATTTCTGCATTAGCTTACTTGCCAATGGAACACATAGATGATGCTTGGAGCATTGTATGGGAAAAAGCTTTTAGCATTGACAAACTTACCATATTCATTGATTATTTTGTCGAGCAGTGGATGGACAATCCAAATATGCTCATTAAAGTATGGAACGTATATGGACAGCGTCATAGGACAAATAATTCTGTTGAAGAGTGGAATTCCAAATTAAATGCAATCACTGGCAGAAACCAGCCTAATGTCCACTTATTAGTCAGAATACTAAAAGAAGAAACACATAAAGTGCCTTTTAATTTGAAATCCAGAGAATTAGGCGACCCTGGAATAAAAAGGAAAAAAGCATACGTAAAATTGGATGAAAGAATTGAAAACATCCTTAAGGAATTCGAAACATCAAGCAATTTAGAAAAATGTCTGAAATCTTTAAGTTTTGTAACTAGGTTGGACTAAATCCAATGGTAAATGATATTTATGCCTTTATAATAAAGGTTAATTAGTATTTATTTACTTGTATTTATTTTTCTTTTATTTACTTGTATCTGTTTTATATATTTTACTTTTAGTATTTATTTTTACTTACATTAATGAAACTAATTAATTTTATGGCAGTTGCATCTGTTCTAATATTTATTTGACTCTAAAATACAGTTTTCCACAAAATCCCTGGAGTTCGTTCATACCCTTCATTCTATTGTTACTTACTATTAATTTTTAAATATTTCTCTGAAAGTTTTTATTTTTATTACGTTTTGCTATGTTTAAAATGCATTTGAACTATCATATCTTAACAATTTAATATAAATAATTAAATTTGATTGGTAAAAATGTATTTATCCTTGTAATTCGATAATCGAGTGCAAAAACAAAATCGGTGAAAAAGTTATCCACGTGAAAATTGCCATTAAAAATGTTTAACAATTTATTTTAAAGTTTTTACTATATGCACCTTTTTATGAGGGGAAAAAATGTCGTTGCCAGATGATTTCGCATGTCGTGAACCCCTCTGGCCACCGTACTTCTCAGGGCAGTTTGGAGGAGCAAACTTGAAGAGCACGGAAAACATAGGAATAAAATGAAGCTAACTTTTGTTTAGTCGGATGACATGATTTAAAGTGTGGTGGAAGGCAAACCGATGAAGGTTTACGGTAAACCGTAGTACTGAAGTTGGATGTGTTACGTGTGACCAGAATGTCGAGAAACGGAAGAGAATTGCAAGTCTCAAGTTCAAAAGTGAACTGAATAGCAGGATCAATAGAATTCATTGTTGAAAGAACTTTATTTAAATCATCTTTATTACCTTCAAACAGAGTAAAAGTATCGTCTACGTAGCGGAACCATGCCGGGAAGTTTAAAGTTTCAAACAATTTTGATTCATAATAATGCATGTAGATATCAGCCAGGATGGGACTGAGGGGGCTTCCCATGGCTAATCCCTCAGTTTGCTTGTAATATTTATTTTGGAAAACAAAATGTGTTTGTTTCAAACAGAGTTGAGTGAGAGAAATTAGCTCATCAATTTCGATGCAAGAGAAATGAAATTCGCGAAGTCTGGTTTCTAGACATCTTAATGCACCCTCCACTGGGACATTGGTGAATAATGATTTTACATCAAAAGAAACCATGAGTAAATTACTAGGAGAAATGTTTTTTAACTTTTTTTACAAACTCTATTGAATTTTTTATGGTGTAAATGTTATTGTCTAATAGAGTTGAAAATCTAGAAACTAAATATTTAGCTAATGGATACGAGGCAGTACCTAAATTTGATAAATTTGATACAATAGGGCGGAAAGGAATACCACTTTTATGAATTTTGGGAAGAGCATATAATCTGGCACAATTCGCAACAGATGGGATAAGTGAATGTTTTAAGTTGCCTGAAATGATTTGCGAAGATTTGATCGCAGTTTTTATTTTTGACAAGTCCGAAGGTGAAGGATCTTTAGGGATCGGATTATATGGTCCTTCGTTTAAGAGTTTAGTGACACCATCGATGTAAGTGTTCCTATCCATGACGACTATCTGGCCACCTTTGTCGGCCTTTGAAATAATAATATCCGGGTTAGAATGAATTTCACGCAATGTAGCTCTTTCTCTCGCAGTTAGATTTGGTTTCAAAGGTTTATTATTGAATTTCACATTATGAGCGATAAGATGCCTAATCATTTCTTTCTGTGAATCTGAAACTTTACTGAACTTGAAAGCTTTTTCGATAGGAGCCAAAATCTTTGGAATCGAGGGTTTACAGGTTTGTGAGAAGTTAAAATTATATTTTAGAATTCTCTCTTGTTCTTCTGAAAGACTAACATTAGAAATATTAACTATTGGCTTGATGTTTACAATGGGAAGATTTTTTGAACTACTTGAACTGGAAGATTGTAAAAGAAGTTTTTCGAATTTAACTGCAAGGGTGTTTTTATGACGGTTAACTGCATTCTCCGTTCTAGACCAAGACTTTTGTTCAAGGGCAGTGAATTTTGGATATGATTTAGCGAGTTCCAGATGAAGCTTATAGAGTTCACGTTCAATTTTGGACAATTGTTGACGTGTATCCCTTATGACGGACCGAAGTAAGGCAAGCTTGCAATTTAACAGAATTCTTGAAACGCGACTCGAAGGTTTTTGATTAGATTTGATTTGAATAAAATTGGGGATCAATTTTTACATTTACATTTAAGTAAAAAGTCAAGATGATTCAGGAATTTTTGCCGTTTCAGGCGTAACTTTTTTATGAAATTTTTTCTGTGACATTAGTTGCATCTACAAACTAAGATTAAAACTTTTTAAAACTTTCGATTCGTTCTTGATCTAGAGCTGGAGTTTTTTACATTTTGATAATATAAACCATTTTAGCGGAGATAATTTGTCAATATGAATGTTTTTCAAAGCGGAAATAAATAATAAGTGATAAAAAGAAAATTAAATTAGAACATTAACATTTCTAACACAGTAATTTAATCTTTATAATGCAATATATTTTACAATGATAACGCAAAATACAATGTGAAAGGTTATGCGAAGATTATGATAGTACCCAGAGTATTCAGCATTTCGTATAATCCTATAACCAGATAATAATAATATTAAAATAAATTTTATCTGAATGAAGTTTTTTTTATTACAGAAACAGTAAAATTATGCAATTACATAAACGAATGCACTTTCAGACAATATACTTAACACTGTTTACAAGTGCAAGCCAAAGTTCTGTTTCTCGCCCTTCAGCGCATGCTCAAGAATTACCATCCAGGCGAAACTAGTCGATTTGTCCATGACGTCAAAAATTCGAAAAGTGGGGTAGGGTTTGGAAATACGCTTCCCGTACTCGCAGTAAGAAACATTAATAAAACATTCTAGTATGGAAGAATAAGATCCATTCGTAATAAGATCCATTCGTTGCAGGTTTGAAAAATTTCGCATAGGAGATTTGAGATTACAAAATCAAATCTATGGCCATTGCTCTTCCTCCATTGATTCAAATGTATTACCTGCCTTGTATTTTCGTAACTGCCTTTTACATTCCCTGTTTCGTATTCCCACGTCCGTCAACAGCTTGACAGCCACGACTAATTTCCGGACTTTTCTGTGAATATTATTATGTTTCTTCAACTTCAGGACTTTTGCAATAATTGTTAGAGCCTTCTTTTTAGCTCGCCTTAATAAATTCGAAAGTGAATATGCTTCTATATCCAGTGCACCTGGGTACTCCGATGTTGCACCATTCTACAAAAGTATTGATTCAAATACATTAATACAATAATATCCGGGTTAGAATGAATTTCACGCAATGTAGCTCTTTCTCTCGCAGTTAGATTTGGTTTCAAAGGTTTATTATTGAATTTCACATTATGAGCGATAAGATGCCTAATCATTTCTTACCTTAAAGTGGTTCTTATGGACCCTCAAGGATTTTTATGACTGCTGAGGGATAAATTAAAATTAATTCGGGGTTGCGCGGACAATGTCAGGGAGGCAGCGAAGGGTTTAACATAAAATAAAATAACTGTGACTCTTTTTCATTATCGCGAAAGTTAAAATAAGTAACAATAAATAAGTTGGAAACAGTTTTACGTCTTGAGTAAAATAAAGCAAACTGTGCCAGAACAGTGTCATTTTATATGTATAACAGTATGAGTGAGCCGAAGGAAAAATGCAGACAATATAATGCTGAATATTTAAAATAGGATTATATTCCGTTACTGGGATATAGTACTTTACCTACGTGCCTTCTAGTCTATAAAACTTTGTCAAACGAATGAATGAAGCTTAAAGAGGATTTGACAAACACCCATAGAAGCAAAACAGACAAAGATTTAACTTTTTAAAAATAATCAAAGAAAAATATCTGACAATAACGTTATAGCGACTACATTTGTGGGAGATAACTATGCACTGAGTGCTTCTTATAACATTTCGTTACTGATTACAAATTCGGAAAGCCATACATCCTTAGTAAAGAACTTATTATGTCAGCTATAAATGAGGTAAAAGGCACACCGTGTTACATAAACCAGCGTTCGATATTACAAGGCTGCTATCACACACCTATTTGTTTCCGACAAACAATTTTGCTATCTGCTTTAACACTGAAAGAAAGAAGCACGATTTTTTCCTTCCTTTCGCAAGTGTAAGCTATTCATTTTCAACAACCAGCCAGCTATCAGCATCAAATTTTGGATCATCAACCATGGGATGTAATGGAGAGCTATGTATTTTTCTCTTACATGGAAAACCCCAAGTGATCTGTGCTGATTAGCTGTTTTATACCAAGTGGCAAAGCAGAAAAATTGTACTAAACAGTTATTGTTCCGAAATGTTTTGATTATATGATGCGATCTTAAAAAGAAATTTCACTGAATAATAATATAGTGCAAAAAAGAACTTAGGAAATGGCTCATTGCTTAAAAAATTCTTTATGCGAGTTCTTAGAAACATCTGAATTCTCTATTCAACTTGACAAGTCAACTTTACTAGGAAAAAAAGTCTTACTTTGGTTTTTCTGACTGGATGTTGGAACCCTTTGCAAGCAGAGCTACAAAATCAGGTGTATCCATATAAATATAGGGAGCAATTTATTGAATTATCTGTAAAGATTGAACCAAAGACAAGTTGGTTGAACAAGGATACCACACTTTCTACTTACATAAACAAGTACGAATTTTGTATCCTGCATTATGGGACACTGTCGTTAAGCTATTGATTGCTTTCCCGTAATTTCCTATCTCGAAGAACGTGGGTTTAGTGTAGTTATGAGACTCATCACGAAAAAACGGAAATTGACTGAAAAATAGTATTCATGGAGACATAGGAATGTTACTCACAAACGTAGAATTGAACATAGTCTATCATTCAATCAGGATTCATCCACCTAATGGAAAAAGAAAAAAAAAAAAAATATGTTTTTGTATTTTAAACAAAAATTATAATTTCAATAAATAATATTTTAAATATCAATATGCTTTATTTATATTTTGTTTACCTTTCAAGACATAAGTTTGTATTT